AAAGAAAGAAAGAAAGAAAGAAAGAAAGAAAGAAAGAAAGAAAGAAAGAAAGAAAGAAAGAAAGAAAGAGAAAGAAAGAGTTCCTTGTATATTTTGGATAACAGCTCTGTATCAATATGTGTTTTGCAAAGAATTTCTCTCACTCTGTGGCTTGTCTCTTTATTCCTTTAACAGTATCTCTCACAGAGCAGACATTTATTATTTTTATGAAGCACAACTTATCAATTTTTTTCTTTCCTGGATCTTGCCTTGGGTATTGTACCTAAAAAATTCACCACCGAGCCTAAGGTCATCTAGATTTTCTCCTCTGTTATCTTCTAGAAGTTTTGTAGTTTTGCATTTTACATTTAGGTTGATGATCTATTTTAATTTTTGTGAAAGGTCTGTGACAAGATTCATTTTTTTGCATATGAGTATCCATTTGTTGAGCACTATTTGTTGAAAAGACTATCTTTTCTACATTGAATTGCCTTTGTTTCTTTGTCAAGGGTCAGTGGACTATTTGTATGGGTCTATTTCTGGGCTCTCTATCCTAGTCCATTGATCTATGTGTCTAGTCTTTCATCAGTATGGTTATAGCTTAATAGTTAGTCTTAAAGTTGGGTAGTGTTAGTCCTCCAACTTTGTTCTTTTTCTTCAGTATCATGTTGGCAATTCTGTCTTTGCCTTTCCACATAAACTTTAGAATCAGTTCATTGACATCTACCAAATAACTTGCTGGGGTTTTGATTGGGGTTATATTGAATCTATGATCAGTTGGGAAGATACAACATCTTGCTAATATTGTCTTCCTATCCATGAACGTGGATATCTCTCCGTTTATTTAGATCCTTGATTACTTTCATCAGTTACGTACAGAGGTCTTGTGCACATTTAGTTACATTATTCTCAAGTACTTCATTTTGGGGATGCTAATGTAAACAGTATGTGTTTTTAACTTCGAATTCCAATTCTTCATTGCTATATTCATTGGTATATTAGCAGTATATGTAACAATGTAACAATTGGCTTTTTAATATTAACCTTATATCCTGCAACTTTGCTATAGTACCATATCAGTTCTAGAAATTTGTTTGTTTATTTTTGTCTGTTATTTGGGATTATTCTAAATGGACAATCATAGCTTCTTCAAACAGAGACAATTTTATGCCTTCCTAATTGGTACACCATTTATTTTCTTTTTGGGGGCGGGGGGTTTATTACATTATCCAGGACTCCAGGAAGATGCTGCATGGGAGTTCTTCTGTTATAATTTCTATAACTTACATTACAACGTTATTTCTGTTACAATGTTTTTGACCTCTAGGATTCCCTTTTGATGCCTCCTTAGAGTTTCCATCTCTCTGAGGACATTACCCATTTGTTCTTGCATGGGGTTCACATTTCCATTACAGCCTTTGGCACATTATCATGGTCATTATAAATTCTCAGTCTGACAGTTTCCAAATCTCTGCCCTATCTGAGTCTAGTTCTGGTGTTTGCTCTGTCTCTTCAGACTGTGTGTGTTCCTTGCCTCTTAGCATGCCTTGTGATTTTTTTGGTGGAAACTGGATACAGTATATTGGATAACAGGATGAAGGTAAGTAGGTAAATGGGTCTTTAGCGTGAGAATGGATGTTAGACTGGATGGAGTTGGGCTGTGTTTACTGTTTGCGAGCCTTCCGTTTCCTTGGGCACCTGGTTTTGACTCTCCTGTTGTCTTCGATTTCCCTAGAAGCTTCTTTTCAAATAGAGTGTGTCCTGCTCTTTCACTGTTATTATCCCCTGTAATGTGCTGGGAGGGGACCGTATTCTGTAACCCTAGGAGCAAACCTCAGTTCGTTAGTGGCTTCAGTCCCTGGCTGACAGGAAGGCTAGCGGGGGCCAAGTGACGTACTTGTCCTTCCCCTTAGGTCTGGCAAAGCGGTGTTCCTTGAGGGCAGGACTCTGTTCCAGGGAATGGAAGGATCTGGGTTCATTTCAAATTGGTTCTTTTCCTTTCTCTCTGCCTGAAGCATGAAAGAATTTTTCTCAGATTTCCCTGAGAAGCTGGTGTGGACCCGGGAGGAAAAGTCATCAAAGGGCAGCTTCCCCCAGGCCTGGGACCCCAGAGTTTTTAACTCTCAAGCTCTCCCAGTTACCCTGTAAGTGTTCTGACCAGGGTCCACTGCAGCTTCTGTGCGTGGTGAGCAGTGTTTCTGTATCTATGTGTCTCTCCGACTTGGGGCACAGGTTTGCCTTGTGACTTTGACTCTCTGATGGTTCTTCATTCAACTTTCAGTTCTGTGTTTTTCTTGTTGTGAAGATGGGAGTAATGACTTACAAGCTCTTTCTTTACATGTCAGAGCGAAAACCGAAAGTTTATATATATGAGTATGTGTGTGTGTGTGTGTGTGTGTGTGTGTATTTTTTTTAAGATTTTTTTATTGGGGAATTGGGGGATGGGAACAGCGCTGGGGAATTGGGGGAAGGAGAACAGACAAGTTGCTGTCCTTTTGTTCTTCAGTCCAGTTGTGGAGGACTTCGCTTCACTGGCCCATGTTGGTGTTGTGATCATTGCGCTCTTCCCGGGTGAGCCATATTGGTCACTGGCCATTTGACGGCTGCTCCCGGCGGCTCACGGCAGCTCTCCCCAGCTGCTGGTCGCTCACGCTGGCTGCTGGCCACACACGGTAGCCCATGGCTGCCCACTGCAGCAAGGGTTGCAGCCTATGCCATTGCTGGTGACTCACAGCAGCCCAGCTGCAGGTCAAGCTGTTGTTCACCATCTTAGCTGTAGAGGGCGCAGCGTCACTGGCCCATGTGGGATCCGAACCAGCAGCCCTACTGCTCAGAGCTCGCACTCCCAAGCCAACTCTTAACCAACAAGCCACTCGGCCGGCCCTGTATATATTTTTTAATTGAGATAAAACTAATGTACAATAGAACTCACAGAACTGGAGAGTCTAGTTCAATGAGTTTTGAGCCTGTGTAACCATCACCCAAAACAAGATATAT